CAACCTAACCTAATCCATTATACGCTAACCTAATCCACAGCCCCAACTTATCTTAACCTAACCTAATCCACGGCTAACTTAATCTAACCTAACCTAATCCATCCTAATCTAACCTAACCTACTGCTAATTTAACCTGACCTGACCTAATCAAATCAACTATAACCTAACCTAATCCATCCTAACCTAACCTAATCCATGGCTAACTTAATCTAACCTAACCTAATCCATTTCAAACCAAACCAAAACCAAACCTAGTGCTAATTTAACCTAACCAAACCTAATCCATCCTAACCTAACCAAACCTAATCCATCCTAACCTAACCTAACGTAATCAAAACTTTTACCATTACGTCGAAAGTTTGCTGAAATCAGGAGTCAAAACAGATGCTCTAATACGTCTAATCATTCCTCTGATTTTCCCTAACTGTTGACACTTTCATCAAGAATTTCCCTGACAATTAATTTGATATAATTTTAGTAATACAATGAACCAATTGGCACATTATAGGACATAGATTTCTCCCCCATCATTCCCTTTCATTCTTCCTAAAACAAGTCCTCCCATTCTCCCCACCTGATGTGATATAATGGAGACGTGATATAATGGACAGGTGATATAATGGAGACGTGATATAATGGACAGGTGATATAATGGAGACGTGATATAATGGACAGGTGATATAATGGAGACGGATAATGGACGGTGAATGGAGCGTGATATAATGGACAGGTGATATAATGGAGACGTGATATAATGGACAGGTGATATAATGGAGACGTGATAATAATGGACAGGTGATATAATGGAGACGTGATATAATGGACAGGTGATATAATGGAGACGTGATATATGGACAGGTGATATAATGGAGACGATATAATGGACAGGTGATATAATGGAGACGTGATATAATGGACAGGTGATATAATGGAGACGTGATATAATGGACAGGTGATATAATGGAGACGTGATATAATGGACAGGTGATATAATGGAGACGTGATATAATGGACAGGTGATATAATGGAGACGTGATATAATGGACAGGTGATATAATGGAGACGTGATATAATGGAGACTGTTGCATGTTATGTTACTCAACTTGTTTACTCTACTCTGGTCTACTCTACTCTACTCTGGTCTACTCTACTCTGGTCTACTCTACTCTACTCTGGTCTTCAGGATAGAGCGCTAAGTAATATCACTTTAGCCAGATACGTAGAGATAACCTGGAAATTTTCTCGTCAACTTCTGTTCTAAATTACAGTTGTATCATGTAGTTTATATCTGCCAGTTGTGCCCCATTGTCAGAGTAATTTGATCGTTAATACACTTGACCATAAAAGCTGTTATTAAGTGTTTATTATAACATGATAGAAACACAACGACGAATATTCACAACACACACACACATACACACACACACACACGCACACACACACACACACACACACACATGTACTACCCAGAACCCTAACCCAGATAGATTTCATATTCTGAAGGCTGGGTTAGGTTAGGTTAGGTTAGGTTAGGTTAGGTTAGGTTAGGTTAGGTTAGGTTAGGTTAGGTTAGGTTAAGAGGCAAATTACGTCGGTAGATTAGATTAGATTCCGAGGATTAGCCAATCATTACCACACACAGGCATGATTCACAAATTACATCACGTTTATTTTGTTTATTTATTTTACACTATTCAAAACTTGGTGTTATAGGAGAGGAAATTCCCTCTAAAATGAATTCAGAAACTGGCTATCGTCACCCTGACAGCTGGTCCTGTCGCACTCTCTGCTGCTGTAAATAATGGAGGCTGGCACACGGGGAACAGAAACATTTGGTTCGGACACTTACATCAGCCAGAGGGCATCCCAGCGGGAGCAGCAGCCCGTGTTAGGTCAAGCCAGGTCACTCCGTATAACATAATTGTGACCTTGTTTACCTAGTACTATGTTAGTAAGGTCACATGATTTTATTTACAAGTTAAATGGGTTACATTATGACCTTTACGTGAGTGTCTCGTTAACTAGGTCATAATGTAGGAGACGTGACCTAGTTTACCTCTGTGATCTAATTTACGTCTAGCCTGAACACTTTAGTCCAGAAAAGAAAATTTCCGGGTCACGTCAGGTCACTTCCAGGACCTGTGACCTGGTTTATGACTGGTCCGATCACCCTATAGCAGATAGAGGGGTCAAACTAGGATCTGTAACCTTGCTGATGAAACAGGTCCAGGATAAAAAACCTCCTCCTACCTGGAGTCATGCCACTGACCTTTGACCTAACATACCTGAGTCCGGATTCTGTAAAATGAATATGAGGATTTTTCCCTTTCTCAGTTGCAGTAGGTTGAGAATACATCTTCATCAACACAGTCTCGGTACATTTTTTTACGCCATTTTGAAAAAGATATTTAGTGGTCATATCTCAGATGTATATTATGAGTTAAGATTTTCTAGATATTTACTGAATAAGAAAAATTTGTTTATTTTGACAGTTTATAAGAGTATTACTAATAAACAACATCTATTATCTTCCTGAGTCGAATAAACATTACATAAAAAGACGTCCCTGTTCATTTGTTTACGGGTCGATTAATAGGAACGTTATCTATTGACTTCCAGGACAGATACAATAAAAACCACCATTTACCGACGTCTAACTTCTAACTACAATGATTAACAAAAAATTCTCTTAATATAAACATTTTTGGTTAATATTCTAACTAAGTCTAGAATAATATCGATTAGTTCAGTTAATGGCAGTGTTCATTATATAGTTTCCGGGCCGATTATAACAGTGATGCCTCGCGTGGTGCCGATAAAGATAGTTTAATTGAGGTGATTTATACAGGTGAGGTCTCGATAGTTGGGCCTGAGCCACACACACACACACACACACACACACACACACACACACACACACACACATATCAGATTACCTATTACCATTTTATTTGTTTATTTTTGCTGGTGTCTGTCTGTCAGTCAGACTTGTCGACAGTCAAACCGGAAAAACTGGGCAAGAGAGAGTAAACCAAACAGAATATATTGTAGTTGATGCTTGTTACTACCATGACACGTGCTATTGGTGTGTGTGTACGTATTCTTAGAGGTACAGAGGGTGTGGATAGAGGTACAGAGCGTGGTAGAGGTACAGAGGGTGGTAGAGGTACAGAGGGGTGTGGTAGAGGTACAGAGGGGCGTGGTGGGGCACAGAGGCGTGGTAGAGGTACAGAGGGGCGTGGTGAGGTACAGAGGGCGTGGTAGAGGTACAGAGGCGTGGTAGAGGTGGGGGCGGTAGAGGTACAGAGGGCGTGGTAGGGTCACAGAGGGCGTGGTAGAGGTACAGAGGGCGTGGTAGAGGTACAGAGGGCGTGGTAGGAGTGCAGGAGAGGGCGTTAGAGGTACAGAGGGGGCGTGGTAAGGTACAGGGGCGTGGTAGAGGTACAGAGGGCGTGGTGAGGACAGAGGGCGTGGTAGAGGTACAGAGGGCGTGGTAGAGGTACAGAGGGCGTGGTAGAGGTACAGAGGGCGTGGTAGAGGTACAGAGGCGTGGTGAGGTACAGAGGGCGTGGTGAGGGTACAGAGGGCGTGGTAGAGGTACAGAGGGGCGTGGTAGAGGTACAGAGGGCGGGTAGAGGTACAGAGGGCGTGGTAGAGGTGCAGAGGTGGTAGGAGGTACAGAGGGCGTGGTAGAGGTACAGGGGGCGTGGTACAGAGGTACACAGAGGGCGTGGTAGAGGTACAGGGGCGTGGTAGAGGTACAGAGAGGGGCGTTAGAGGTACAGGGGCGTGGTAGAGGTACAGAGGGCGTGGTGGGGTACAGAGGGCGTGGTAGAGGTACAGAGGGTGTGGTAGAGGTACAGAGGGCGTGGTAGAGGTACAGAGGGTGTGGTAGAGGTACAGAGGGCGTGGTAGAGGCGTGGTAGAGGCGTGTGTTTTATATATCATTACAAGTATGAGCTGATCCTTTAGCTGCACCAAAGTAAAATATCAAATATTCTCCAGCAAATAGCGTTTAGTGAGTGAGTCAGTGACGAATTTCTCCGTGAGTGAGTGGGAGTGAGTGAGTGAGTGATGAATTTTCTTCGTCAGTGAATGAGTGAGACACAATTTTCCTTCGTATGTGTGTGTGAGTGAGTGATAATTCTCTCCGTCAGTGAGTGAGTGAATCATTCAATCTGAACATCACATACAGAACCGTTAAGTCTTTAATTATTTTAATGAATTTTCATGAAACATTAAATATTACAGACAGATATCCCAAGAACTATCATTTCATTTCTGATATAAATATTACGTCAATGTATTTTTAGAGCAGAGTAACAGACAGACAGACAGACAGACATCAGCCTTGGGTAATGAATAACAGATTATGTTGTTTTCCTAATGATTATTATCTATTTTAACTCTGTATATTAAATTAAATGTATAATGTATTTTGAATTCAGTATTTATGTATTAACAGTATATGCAGTTGTATATATATTTATGTGACTTGTTTATTTACACAACTCTGCTGACTCACATACTGTGGTGTAATGGTCAGCATGCTCGCCACGCAAGCAAGCGGACCCGGGTTCGATCCCCGGGCAGGACGTCTGGGAAGTTTATTTTACCCATTTGCCTCTGTCTACCCAGCAGTAATTGGGAACCTGGATGTTAATCGATTTGCGGATCGTGTTCCGGTATGGTTAGCCAGTGCAGTTGGCTAGTTGTCCGGTCTTCTCGGACTATTCTGACACTGGGTCATGCAACTTGTTAACTCAGGGTGTGGTTGTTGTGTTGGTGACAGCTTCTACACCTAGACAGATTCACACCTAGGTGGCCCTTGGGCCGGCCAGCCTCGTTACACGGGGGGCAACCATTAATATTATTAATTATTATTATTACTATGTTTACACGAATCAGCTGATTCATGATTATTAACACGAATCAGCTGATTCACGTACTGTATAGTTAAACAAACCAGCTGACTCATATTTTGTTTACCTGCCCACAGTCCCAGAACTCGACGGAGTTTAAGGTGAGCCTCAAGAACCTGAGCATTAAGTCGTCTGGCACGTTTACCTGTGAGGTGATCTCCGACGACAACTTCGAGACCTTCCGAGAGGCTTCCAACATGACGGTCATTGGTGAGGAAAAACTCTAACAAAGTCTCTGATTGGTGAATGAGAATAGGAAACGGTCTCTCATTGGTGGGTGGGTGGGTGTGTGTGTGTGTGTGTGTGTGTGTGTGTGTGTGTGTGTGTGTGTGTGTGTGTGTGTGTGTGTGTGTGTGTGTGTGTGCCAAGCACAACTTGTCTTCCAACTTAAAACGGATCTACAATAATTGATTGGGTTAAGCTGATATTGGTTAAGCTTGATTAGGTTAGGTTAAGTTTAAAATAAGTTAGATTAGGTTAACTTGATGTGGTTAAGCTTGATTAAGTTAAGTTTAAAATAAGTTAGAGATACCCTATGGTATATCAAGTTAGATTATGCTTGGTTAAGTTAAAATGAGGTTAAATTAAGTGAGAGACAGATCAAGATAAGCTGAATTAACTATTTCCACAAGGGCATGTGTTGAGTAGCAGGTAACACGTAACATAACTGAAGCATTATGTCACAGTGTTCCGTTGCAAGACACTTAACGTACACTAATCTGTTACTTTCCTCATGTTGTAATTCCCACCAAGTAACATTATTCTCACGGTAAAATAATCATTGAAGTATTTATCACCATACGAGGTGTTAAAGAGATATGTTTCATAATTCTAGGGTCTTTGTTGAGACATATATAAGAATAAGTAACTTCATGACCAGAGTACTTCATGACCAGAGTACTTCATGACCAGAGTACTTCATGACCACAGTACTTCATGACCACAGTACTTCATGACCAGAGTACTTCATGACAAACCAATGACAGTACTTCAACCACCCACAGTACTATAACACAGTATACAGTACTTCATGACCATAGGAACACCCAGACCATAGGCACTCCATGACCATAGGAACTCCATAGGCTGGGAGTTATACCCCATGAGAGTTATGGTAGGGGTGTGATAAAGCTTAAGGGTTATAAATGATAGATCTAATGTTATCAATTACAATATAGTCTTTGTCCCCTACCCTAGTGTGAGTGCCCATAGAGTCATTTATCCTTATGTATGTCTCGGTAACACACCTACCACGTATTTCTTGATCCCTGTTAGAAGTAATTATAATCCAGTACGGTGTATAGATATTTAATTATATTACCTAGAGGTATTTCAGGTATTAAAACCCTCCACAGGTAAACTAATTTATTCTTCTTCACAGTCAATAAATATACTAGATTATTTTATATGTTAGGTGTTTCATTATTTTGGCCACATATTTATAAATTAATTTGATCTTAGTAAATTATTAGTGAAGTTTGTTAATTACAGGTATGATATAGGTAAATTACAGTATAAAGTTGTAACACTGAGGATATAACATGATAATTTAGTCTACATTTCCCAGCACAGGAGAAACAGACATACATTACCCATGAGGCTGAAACTACCTTAATCGACAGTGAGTGAGCTGGGGATCATCTCACCTGGGTCAGAAATATATTACTTTTTGTATTTTAAAGTCAGCACACACACACACACACACACACACACACACACACACACACTCACTAATAACAGGTAACCATTAAGAAACAGAGGCAGGAAAAGCTCACAACACTTTATTATTTACCTGTGGTTACCTGTACAGTAAATCTATCCATCCATCCATCCATCCACCTATCCATCCACCTATCCATCTACCCACATATATACACACCTTATCAGCCTTATAAATCGGATAATCACATTATTCACTTAATATAAAATGATATAAAAAATAAATATATATGATTAATGGTATATCTTACTTCATTAGAGCAGCTGGAGTTATTTAGTTCGCCATTCAATCACTCACAGCTCCGAGTTAGTGAGGAAAAATGACTTGAAATCATTTAGTGTGAATTTCCTGACATGGGATCAGCGGTCGAAGGAAATGAGCGGTGTTGAGGAGGGCACCATTAGGAGGGTGGTGGGTGGGGGTGGGGGTGGTGGGTGGGGTGGGTGGTGGGTGGTGGTGGGTGGGGGTGGTGTGGGGGTGGGGGATGGGGTGGTGGGGTGGGTGGTGGTGGTGGTGGGGTGTGGTGGGCGGGGGTAGTAGGGGTGGGGGTAGTGGTGGTGGGGGTGGTGGGGGTGGTGGTGGGGCTGGGTGGTGGGGGTGGTGGGGGGTGGGGTGGGTGGGGTGGTCGGGTGGTGGGGTAGTAGTAGTGGTGGTGGTGGTGGTGGCTGTGTGGTGGGGGTGGTGGGGGTGCAGGGGTGGGGGGGTAGGGGTGGGGCAGGGGTGGTGGGGTGGTGGTGGGTGGGGGGTGGTGGGGGTGGTGGGGGTGGTGGTGGGGTGGGGGATGGTGGGTAGGGGCATGGTGAGCAGTGGCAGGTAGGGTTGGGAAGTGGTGGGGTAGAATTGGTGGTGGGCAGGAGGTGGTGGGGTGGGCAGGTATAGGAATGGTGGGGGCAGAGGTGGAGGGAAGTATGGGGCATGGGCAGTGGTAGTCAGAGTGGTGGTGGCGGAGGTGGGGTAGAGGTGGGGGAAGGTGGTAGGGGTGGAGGGGGTAAGGGGGTAGGCATGGTATGGGTGTGAGAATGGTGGAGCATGGTGGGGGTGGTATAGGTGGTGGGGTGGGGCAGGTGAGGGTGTGGGGCAGGGGGTGGGGGTAGGTAGGTGGTGGCAGGGAGTAGCAGGTGGTGGCAGGCGGTGGTGGTAGGGTCGTGGGTGATAGGGGTGGTGGGGGGTGGTGGAGGTGGTGGGGGGTGGTAGGGGTGGTGGGGGGTGGTGGGGGTAGGGGTGGTGGGGGTGGAGGGTTGTGGTGGTGGTGGTGGTAGTGGTGGTGGTGGTGGTGGTAGTGGTGGTGGAGGGTAGTGGTGGTGGTGGTAGTGGTGGTGGGTGGTGGTGGTGGTGGAGGGTGTAGTGGTGGTGGTGGTGGTGGTAGTGGTGGTGGTGGTGGAGGGTTGCAGTGGTGGTGGTGGTGGGGTGGGGGGTGGGGGTAGTGGTGGTGGTTGGGGTGGAGGTAGGAGGTCAGGGGTGGTTATGTCATTGTTTGTTTTATTCATTTGTTTTTGTCTATTTCTCGTTTTTTATTATTTTTTTATTCTTGTTCGTTCTTGTGTGGTCGTCTCATCTTTATTTTTTTACCCTATTTTTATTTTTTTTAGTCCGTCCGTCTGTCTGTCCGTCCGTCTGTCTGTCCGTCCGTCTGTCTGTCCGTCCGTCCGTATATGCCGTTCTATAACTTGGAACACATCGCAGACTGAAATACAATCTATGAGACAACATTATTTAAGACTCACTCGGTCAAGTTCAATATTTAAGGATTTCCATTTTTATTTTCTCAAAGTAATGATATTTTTTGGGGGTTTTGAAATCGTGCGAATTTCACCTACTGTATATATACTTCTTATCTATTTACATATTTGAAACATTAAACCAGAAGTGTATAGATTATATTGAATACTTGGTGGAAATTTATTTATTGTGTTAAAAATCCTGACTATGAAGGACCTTCTGTTTTTGTAATGCATTCTAAAAAAAACAGACAAAATTTCGGAATTTTTTGTTAGAATATATTATTGTTATCATTATTATTATTATTGTTAGGAGACGTAAGATTTGAGTGAAAAAAAATCTTTTCATCAGTAATTTTCCTTTCCACAGTAACTATAATACATGTTGCAGAGTCTCCTCCGCCTACCCTGATCAACATGTTGCAACAACCAATTCTATCACACACAGAGGAACCCCACTGAACTAAAACACGTCACCAATGCAGTATAGCCTCACCCTCTGCCTCGTACAGCAAACAAGAGATCAGTAAACTTCCCTTCCCAATGCGAATATTTAACATCTAAATAGACTAGGCTACAGAATGCTAATTTTCGGCTCCCATTGTTAACCAGTTTTCCCTCTCTGTGTTTCCTGTGAGGGTGTAGTAAAGAGTGTAGTGAGGTGATCGGGTGTGGTGTGGGTGTCGGGTGTTGAATAAAGAGGCGGGGGAGTGAATGCATGACAACTTGTATCGTCGGGTAAACATGCAGGAAATTTGTTTCATGACAGAGGAAGTAGAGGATAAGCTGCTAAATCAGGTTTGGTTGTGACTGCGTATCAATATATTTCGCTATACAGTATATATACATGATACGCGTGTATATACCTGTATGCTATAGTTACATCCTATGAAATAAGATAAAAAAATACTCGGTAAAACTAGATGTAAACAAATGGATAAACGGATGATGATGATGATGATGATGATGATGATGATGATGATGATGATGATGAGAATAATGATGTACCTCATGAGAGAGACCTTCATCCAACACTGAACTGATACTAGGTAGTGAAGGCGAGGAGAGACAACCTTGACCCCTACTATGAATCTTCTACATTATAATCCACTCACGTCAACGTGGTTTAAAATATAAGCGACATCTCTAACTTTTAATACAGAATATAACTAATTAATACCTGTATCTTTTAATATATAAGCAATACCTACGTCTTTTAATAACAAGTCACACAATACGTATAGCAGGTCAGTTCACAGGCAAAAAGGCACAGGTAATGACCAATTAGTCAAGTTCATCTCTCTACGTTAAAAGCTTAATCAGGGTGTGGACGGTGACGCAGGTGGCTGGGTGTGGCAGGAAGGGGACTTTTTTCTGCCTCTTGTTGACGAGTACACACACACACACACACACACACACACACACACACAGGTAGGTTGTGTGGCCGGTACTAAACTCGACCACCTTCACTTTCCCAACTGCAATGTTAAGTACCACAGGTAGATGATCTGGATGTCAGGATGCATACCAGAGACCTTTAACACACTGTAACACACTTCTAGCACATCATAACACACCATCACCTTCGACAGACCCGCCGGACCGCAACGCAGCCGGCAAATTCGGTCCAGAGATCGAGGTTGCCGGATGGAGCGGAACCGGCCCTTTAGAGGTACGGGATGGCGAACAAGTGGAGGCTGTGTGTCTGGCCAGGGGTTCGAATCCCCCTGCTCCTCTCACCTGGTACAACAACAACACTGAGGTGGGTCCCTGTAACTGTTCTAGTCTTATTGTATTACCTGTATTACCCTTAATTATCTAACTAACTTCACCTGTACTATTTTGGGTTATCCTAAATTCTTCCTAAGGTAAGCATTCTAGTTAGTCTTACCTTAACATTCTTGGCGAAAATCATTCATTAAATACCACAGTTCATATAGATATTTTTTTTCGATTTAACATTAGTGATCATTTGTAACAAGTACGAAAAACTCAAGTGTACTTAACGTAACAGCCAGTAAAATTAAAGCTTTTAACATACGTGATTTTTCTAACATCATATACCAGATAAATCACTAACCTAACGTAATGGGATGTATTTTCTGCATCAAATTCACACAAAAACAAATTCCTAATATGTTTTCAAATCCATTATCAATTTATTCGTCAAAATATTCCCCTCGAATATATCTCCTGATGATCATTTAATGTGACTTAAATACCTATCTAACGCTGACTCATTCACACACACACACACACACACACACACACACACACACACACACACACACACACACACAGATAAGACAGGCATACATACATATACACAGAGCAACAAAGACAGACACACTGAGTCATACAGACAGACATACAGCCAAACAGGAAAACATACACACATTGAATCATACAGCCAAACATACACACAGACAGACACACACACACAGACACACAGACACACACACACACACACACACACCCTCCCTCTGCATATGTCAATCCTCCAAGCTTTTTGCACACGTTAATGCGTATTCATTTTCCAGGGTCTGCAAATTTCGTGGAGGGTTGAGCCTGTCCCTCCCGGTGCTCGCCTCAAGTTTTTTCATATTTGATCCTCATCACAGATATCTTAATTTCATCTCTCAAGCTTCGTCTGTCCCTCTCATCTCCTTCTTTATATCTCCCTAAATTGTATTTCTCATCCGTCTTTCTCATCGGATCCTTAATCACTGAAATAGGATTGTATATAATATATTCCTTTACCGGTTTATTTAGAGTTTTACTAAAATAAGTTCCCAAATGCGTACAGCTCTTAAGATTACCTTGTGCAGTGATGAAGAAAGTGTGGAGTGGGTCTTATAGGCCAGACGGTCGGCCAGGGACTGTGTGGATACGTCACGCTGTGTTTTCGGTACACAAGAATAAAGCAGTGTAGTTAAGACTGCAGTCGGCCACATTGGGGTACATATTCCCAGCTGGATGGACAAGGGAGCCTTAGGCGCGAACCAGAGACCTCTGGGCAGGAGGCGAGCGCTGTATTCACTCAGCCGCCGCACCCCTATAAACTAATTAACAGCCCCTAATTCCTCTAAAATCAACAAAGGGAATACCACTCTTAATGCTCGTCCTCTTAACTGTGAATCTCGGTGCAGTAAATTCTCTACATCCACACACGCACACATCACACACGCACACATCACACACGCACACATCACACATACTCATCCCTGGCTGACCACTACCTCCTCTACCCGTACACATACTGCACATTACCGTAGCCCCTGATTACTGTAATCCACAGACCACACCCCCAACACACACACGACAAAGATGACCTATCCATCTCCAAAGGCTGCTTGTCTGGTTACCAAGGTTGAGACTATTCCTACACATTCCTTCAAACACTCTACTCGTCTGATTGCCAGGAAAGATTCCCACACACTCCTAACAACTCTCCATTAGTTTCCTTCCTTCCTACAGGTTCCTAGGGAGTTCGTGCGGCCGCAGACGTCACGCACGGAAGGGCACAACACGTACACGACGTCGCTGCGTCTGATCCTGTCGGCGGGGCAGCTGTGGGACGACCAGGGGCGTCTTCTCCTCCGCTGCACCGCCGACATCCCCGGACTCTTCCACGAGGCGGCACACCTTGAGCTGCTACCAACGCAGCCCTTAGGCGGGCCCAGCTCTCAGGTCTCTTCGCTGACGGTGGGTACAGCTCCTAGTGGAACAGGTGTGGAGGACCAGCAGGTGTGGAGGACCAGCAGGTGTGGAGGAGCGTCAGGTGTGGATGAGCCTCAGGTGTGAATGAGCCTCAGATGTGGATGACCAGGTGTGGATGACTGTCAGGTGTGGATAAGCCTCAGGTGTGGAGGACCGGCAGTGTGGGGGCCACAGGTGTGTGTGTGTGTGTGATAACCCAGAACTAGCACAGGTGTATGATTCCTTATCAACAACTATCACCAGACTTCCAACAGGTGTGCAAATGGTTAATTAACATCAGAGCAGGTATATAAAAGATAGTTAACATCACAACAGGTGTGCAAGACCTAACTAAACAAATATCTTAGCAAAAACACAAATCGGCTAAAAGTCTTATCGTTATTATAAAAGAAAGACTATTTACAAAACAATTAATCAAAAAGATAATAAATACAACACGAGAAATACACTAAAAAAAATAATAACAGTAAAACTCAAATACCTTACGACTAAAAAAAAAACACCCACAAGCCTCGACTGATGAAAATATCCCAGCAGTTGATAAAGACATAATCACTGCCTCTATGTTAACGCATCATTAACACACACACACACATACTTCATTAAAAAGAAAATTACACAAAAACAGGGATCCCATAACAAACAGGTAATAGGTTAGTAAATTAATTAGTGATAATAAAGGTGAATGACATAGGAAGTTAGTGAGACTATTATAATTTATAGGATATGAACCACGTGGACAGATATAGGTTAGGAAACCATATAGGCTACTAGTGGTTATTGCGCCATCACCCTCCCTCCCCACCTCCTTCACGGCAGTTTCCGCAACACAGGGGAAAAAATCCTTCAGTCAGTCAGTCAGTCGGTTAATCAGTCAGTCAGGTAATCAGTCAGTCAGTCAGTCAGTCACTCACGTCACTCAGTCAGTTAATCAGTTAAGAGTCAAATCAATCAGTCAGTCCAATCAGTCAGTCAGGTAATCAGTCAGTCAGTCAGTCAGTCAGTCAGTTAAAACAATCAGTCAGTCAGTCAGAAGAACCAAAACAGCGTTAGTTGTTATGCTAAAAAAACTGCTACAATTCCTTAAATATCGCCAAGTTTATAACCCACAATAATGAATTCCATACAACGTAAATTAAACAAACAAACAAACAAACAAACACACAAACAAACAAACACAAAAATCGGCCACAACGAACTCACCAACGACTGACAAAAATGACATAAAATGTAAATAAAAAAAAAGTAAAAACTAAAAAAAAATTAACAGTAACTCAAATATTGAAGGCTGACGAGGCCACACACAGGTGAGGGGAATATATAAACAACAACAACATGATATACTACAAGCAACACCACTCACCTTAATAAAATAATAACGAACAAAAGTACATCAAGAATGTTGCAAGGTATTGAAGAGTGTTGCAAGGTGTTTAAAAATGATACAGGATATTGAAGAGTGTTGCAAGGTGTTTAAAAATACGGCAAGGTGTTGAGATGTTGTAAGGTGTTTAAAAAAAATGTTGCAAGGCATTATAGAGTGTTGCAAGGTGTTTAAAATTGTTGCAAGGTATTGAAGAGTGTTGCAAGGTGATTAAAATTGTTGCAAGGTATTGAAGAGTGTTGCAAGGTGTTTAAAATTGTTGCAAGGTATTGAAGAGTGTTGCAAGGTGATTCAAATTGTTGCAAGGTATTGAAGAGTGTTGCAAGGTGTTTAAAAATGTTGCAAGGTGTTGAAGTGTTACAATGTGTTTAAAAATGTTGCAAGGTATTGAAGTGTTACAAGGTGTTTAAAATTGTTGCAAGATGTTGAAGTGTGTTGCAAGGTGTTTAAAAATGTTGCAATATATTGAAGTGTGTTGCAGGGTATTTAAAATTGCTGAAGGTTATTTAAATTTGTAGTAGGATGTTGCATAATGTTGCAAAATGCTGAAGAACGTTGCATGGATCTATCTTAACATGCTGGGGTCGGGGCGGATCACACAAGATGGTCATATTCAGCGTGTGTGTGTGTGCGGCTTAATAGATTCTGAGGCTAAAAATTCAATTATTTGTGGTGATGATGGAGAGGGAGGCTGTGACAGGGAGGGAGGAAGGGAGGCTGTGACAGGGAGGAGAAGGGAGGCTGTGACAGGAGGGAGGAAGGAGGCTATGACAGGGAGAGGAGGAAGGAGGCTGTGACAGGGAGGGAGGAAGGAGGCTGTGACAGGGAGGGAGGAAGGGAGGCTGTGACAGGGAGGGAGAAGGAGGCTGTGACAGGGAGGGAGGAAGGAGGCTGTGACAGGAGGGAGGAAGGAGGCTGTGACGGAGGAGGGAGGAAGGGAGGCTGTGAAGGGAGGAGGAAGGGAGGTCAGACAGGGAGGAGGAAGGAGGCTGTGACAGGAGGGAGGAAGGAGGCTGTGACAGGGAGGGAGGAAGGAGGCTGCAGGGAGGGAGGAAGGGAGGCTGTGACAGGAGGGAGAAGGAGGCTGTGACAGGAGGGAGGAAGGAGGCTGTGACAGGAGGGAGGGGGAGGCTGTGACAGGAGGGAGGAAGGAGGCTGTGACAGGAGGGAGGAAGGAGGCTGTGACAGGGAGAGAGGAAGGGAGCTTACAGGGAGGGAGGAAGGAGGCTGTGACAGGAGGGGGAAGGAGGCTGTGACAGGGAGAGAGGAAGGAGGCTGTGACAGGAGGGAGGAAGGGAGGCTGTGACAGGGAGGAGGAAGGAGGCTGTGACAGGAGGAGGAAGGGAGGCTGTGACAGGAGAGAGGAAGGAGGCTGTGACAGGGAGGGAGGAAGGAGGCTGGACAGGGAGGGAGGAAGGAGGCTGACAGGAGAGGAGAAGGAGGCTGTGACAGGGAGAGAGGAAGGAGGCTGTGACAGGGAGGGAGGAAGGGAGGCTGTGGACAGGGAGAGAGGAAGGGAGGCTGTGACAGGGAGGAGGAAGGGAGGCTGTGACAGGGAGGGAGGAAGGAGGCTGTGACAGGGAGGGGAGAAGGAACTGTGACAGGAGGGAGGAAGGGAGGCTGTGACAGGGAGGGAGGAAGGAGGCTGTGACAGGAGGGAGGAAGGAGGCTGTGACAGGAGGGAGGAAGGGAGGCTGTGACAGGAGGGAGGAAGGAGGCTGTGACAGGGAGAGAGGAAGGAGGCTGTGACAGGGAGAGAGGAAGGAGGCTGTGACAGGAGGGAGAAGGAGGCTGTGACAGGGAGGAGGAAGGGAGGCTGTGACAGGGAGAGAGGAAGGAGGCTGTGACAGGAGGAGGAAGGGAGGCTGTGACAGGGAGGGAGGAAGGAGGCCAGACAGGGAGGGAGGAAGGAGGCCAGGACAGGAGGGAGGAAGGGAGTCAGACAGGGAGGAGAAGGGAGGCTGTGACAGGGAGGGAGGAAGGAGGCTGTGACAGGGAGGAGAGGAAGGAGGCTGTGACAGGGAGGAGGAAGGGAGGCTGTGACAGGGAGGAGGAAGGAGGCTGTGACAGGAGGAGGAAGGAGCTGTGACAGGAGGGGAGGAAGGAGGCTGTGACAGGGAGGGAGGAAGGAGGCTGTGACAGGAGGGAGGAAGGAGGCTGTGACAGGGAGAGAGGAAGGAGGCTGTGGACAGGAGAGAGGAGGAGGCTGTAGGGAGGGAGGAAGGGAGGCTGTGACAGGAGGGAGGAAGGAGGCTGTGACAGGAGGAGGAAGGGAGGCTGTGACAGGGAGGAGGATATTTACCTTAGTGTTGTATATTGGAGAACCTCCCTTTCAGTTGTCCTTTCGTCTGTATCCTATTGACCTTTCACCTCCCTGTGTGTGTGTGTGTGTGTGACCAGAGGATAGAGGGAGGCTGATCTGTTAGGTTAGGGTTAGGTGTGTGGTTAGTGGGATAGGGGCAGTGGGGATTACCTTTCTCTATCCATCACCACATACACCAAATGCATGCACCACCATCACATACACTGCCACATACACACCACACACACACCACCACACACACCACCACACACCACCACCACCACCACCACAGCTGAATACCACCAAAAACATTGAATTACTGAGTGATGTTTCCAAGTCCCTCCCTTAATTTGTTCTCCCTCTCCCAGCACCCATGTGTATGTAGCTATGTATATCGGGGTTAAGGGCTAGGAGGGCTAAGGGTAGGGGCTAGGACCATCCCTCCCAGCACCAACACATCACGGGAACCATAACTGCAGCGTCGGGATGATGTATTCATAACTGGGTCGACGTGTGATGGTCACCCTCCAGATTGTTTTGCTCACTTCCTTCACTGTGGGTGCGTTAGTTGTGGCGCAGGGTGTGGCTGGCTGTTACAAGGTGTGACTCTTACATGGTGTGTCGCAGGGTGTGGCTGGCTGTTATAGGGTGTGACTCTTACATGGTGTGTCGCAGGGTGTGGCTGGCTGTTACAGGGTGTGAGTCCTACAGGGTATGTCGCAGGGTGTGATTGGCTGTAACAGGGTGTGTAGGAGGGTGTGGCTGGTATTGTGTTTTGGTGTGTGTGTGGTTGGTGCACTGTGTGGTTGTTAATAGGTGTGGTTGTGTCGCAGGGTGTGGCTGTTACAGGGTGTGTCGCAAGATGTGGCTGGTGGCGGACATGTGGTTGCTGGGCGTAGCTGTTACAGGGGGTCGCAGGGTGTGGTTGGTGACTGGTAATGTGTGTGGCTGATGCAGTGTGTGGCGTAGGGTGTGGCAGATAGGGTGGAATACGTGTCTGGTTTAGGGTGTAATATAAGATGTGGCTGACAGGGTATGTGGTCAGTACATCATGTGGTTGGTAGAGAGTGTGACTGAAACAGAGTGTGAATTCTACAGGGTGTGGCTGGTACGGTGTGGGACTGGTACAAGGTTTGGTTAGTGCAGGTGTGGGCAGGGTGTGACATAACGTGTGGCTGGTACAGGATAAGGCACAGGGTGTGGTTGGTTACAGGATGCAGCTAATACAGAATCAGGCTGGAACAAGGTGTGGTTAATACAAGAGGAGGATAATGACATGTACAGGGTGTGGCAGATAAAGGGTGTGGATTGAGAGTAGGACATCTGCAAAGGTTGTCATAGGTATAGATAGATAGATAGATAGATAGATAGATAGATAGATAGATAGATACATGAGAA